AAAAAAAAAAAAAAAAAAAAAAGAAAAGAAAAAGAAAGAAAAGGGGACCAGACCTCCCTTCCCAGTAAGGATTTATTCATTTCCCATGAACCCCCAGAGCCCCTGGACGTGGCATCGCCCCATCACGACTACCATCCTTTATTTCTGTGTTTAAAAACTAAAGAACTGGCCGGGAGGGTGGGTATGCACGGTGCCGCTCTGAGGGAGGCTACGGGTCACACCCCAGTGTTACAAGAGGGAAAACGACCGTCCGTCTCTTTACCATGAGGGCTCGGGGCCCACCACCTTTTACCCCAAAATATTCCCAGATGCAAGTCTCCGGCAATGCCAGTTCTTGGGTGGTGCTGCAGCAGCCACCTGGGGACCTTCCTGGAGCTGCGTACACGGCCGGCACCCAGGACGGGGGCCTTCCCACCTCGCTGGCTCGCTGCACTCTCTGGCTGCCTGTGGCTGCTGGTGATCCGGCAGGGGCTGAGTGGCCTGTCCTTTGCCAGGGGGACAGATGGTCCCACTGTGTTTCCTGGGGAGGGCAGAAGAAGTTTCGGCCCACAGATGCCCCGCTATGCGCCTGGATTGCTTGAGGATGAGCCGTGGTGGACCCCCTGGTCCGCTGTCCCTGTCGCCATCGATGGAGGTGCCGTCCACTGGAGTGGGAGTTCGGGGTCTTTCGAGTCCACCTGTACCTCTGCGTGGCCACCATCACCACCAGAATACTCATGGGGAGTGGAGGGGTCCTGGGTGACACCAAGGAGGGACAGGCCTGGGGCAGCCTCAGCTCCAACCCGGGACAGCCACTCGTCCATCCTTTGAAACATATCACAAAGCTGCCGCGGACTCCCCAAGGGTTCCAGCCTTCTCAGGCCACGCTGGAAACCGCATTCCTCCCGGCAGAGGTTGGTGGCCTTGGCCCGGGATTTGTGCCCCAACTGGCTCAGACACCCTGCTTCTCCGCGGGGAGGGAGTGTGGGCTCGTGCCGTAGGACTCAGTGCCATTGCTGTGCCTTCCTGCACCTAGGCACTGAGCACCACCCGCTCGGTCCTGGTCGGGAAAACCTAAGACTTGTCCCTTCGCTGTGTCAGGTCTGGGCTGTCCCCTACCCTCGGTGGCTCCCCTGAGGCTTGGCCGCAGAGGCAGTGGGGAGCTGGGGGGCCTGGAGAACGTGCCACTCAGGTTTTTATCAGAAGGGAGACATGGGACCGAAGGGACCACGGGGGAGCACTTTCTGCAAGCACCGCCTCACCTTTTCTGAAATGCCCCCAGAGGCGCTGAGCTCACTGCTTGTAGAGGACCCCTGATGGTCTTGAGGGGCCACGAGAATAGCCCATCTTTCTTTTTTCTTTTTGGTTTTGAGAGAGATCCCACTATGTAGTCCAGGCTGACTTTGAACTCACAGCAATCCTCCTGCCTCAGCCTCTGGAGCGCTGGGATGACGGGTTGGAGTTTAGAATGCAGGGGACCACAGCATCCGGCCTGCTGGGTTCTATTTTTCCCAAGTGATCTTGGAAACACTCCTCCCTCCAGTACCCCGTGTCTTCCTTAGTCAACGTCTGCATTTCCAGAAGGACTGTATTGCAGAGCTAGCTTCTGGGCTCCTGCATGTTCCAGTGCGGCACTGGGGCTGTGGCAGGCGTCACTTGGGCTGGCCCTGGGCTGTGGCATCCGAAGCTGAGGGGCTTGGGAATTGTTCAAGGAGGCAAAAGTGTGGTCTGGTAGCCATTCTTACATGATCGGCTCGGGGGCTCGGAGGCTCCCAAGGAAAGTGGGTGTCTTTAGGGCGACAGGGACTGTCAGGGGACAAATCAGGGGTATGAATTTGGAAAACAAGGTGGAGGCTGAGAGGTGTCCCAAGCAAGGCACAGTCCTGTTTGGGACCGAGATCCCAGGGCTGAGGGCCAGGAGCGGGACGCATTCCAGGAGGGAAGGCACAGGGATAAACCTGGGCCCTACGGTGCTGGAAGGCATCTGTGTTCCCAGACTGAGGGGTGCCGGTGACAGTAGGATCTGGACCCTGTCCCCGGGAGAGATGTCCTGCGGCCCTGGGGCTGGGAACAGCAGCAAGGTCACCAGGGCCACACAGGCCACAGCCCACGCGTCTCCCTCTCCTTTTCTGTGAGCTTGACAGCGTGGACCGGGAGAGGGCTGAGAACAGGGCCCTTTTCCAGAACGTGCTGATACTATCTTGTTTTAAAAAATGTTTCCAGGGCTGGGGATTTAGCTCAGTGGTTCCTCTGACTGCCTCGCAAGCACAAGGTCCCGAGTTCGATCCCCGGTACCAAAGACAAAAGCAAAAACAATAAAAAAATGTTTCCAAGCAGCTAGCAGGGATGCTGAAATGTCCGAGGTGGATGGAGGAAAACCGGTCCCGTGGGACGAGCAGGACTCAGGATGAGGTGGGATGAGTTCTCTGACAGAGGTTTCTTGGCATCTCGAATCTTCCTTTGTGTCCTTCTCTTTGATCCGGCCACCTCAGGACATGCTGGAAGGGAGAGACACAGGCCGAGAGGGGACTGGGATTGTTTTTTTTTAACAAATGGAAAATGCTCTGCCACGTGCATGACATCCAAAGAATGAGCTCCCCTAACGTGGGTGAGCTCTCAGGGGCAGGAGCAGGGCCTGCTCTTCAAGGCTGGGCATTTGTCACCTGCCTGTCCAGGGCGACTCTCATGGGGCCTCCCTCCTGGGGTCTAGCACAAAGGCAGGCCCTGGGGACCCCTGCTGTCAGGTTGGAGGAAATCAAACCATCCATGTGTGCCTCCACTCAGCTGACCCAGCCAGCAGTCACCCACCCACTGACCCTCCTACCCTTCCATTTACCTGTCCGTTATCCATCGCTAGACCCATGGATCCGTGCGTCCATCCACCCCTCTACCCACTACTCCTAAATTCTCTCCGTTGTCTCTTAATCCCTTGCAGTGAGTCTTTTATCACAGCCCCCTAAGGATCCCCAGCAGAAGGTCTCATTCTGCTCCTGCTTGTATCTGCTGACTTTCACCCAGCGAGGCTGACTTCCTTGTGCGCATGGTTCTGTGAGCTCATTGGCAGAGTGTGGGTTAGATGATCTTTCCAGAAATACATTAAGAACTTGCTTCAGCTGGGCGTGGTGGTGCACGCCTGTCATCCCAGCACTCGGGAGGCTGAGGCAGGAGGATCGCTGTGAGTTCAAGACCAGCCTGGGCTACATAGTGAGTTCCAGGTCAGTCTCAACTACATAGTGAGACCCAGTCTCAACTACATAGTGAGACCCTGTCTCAAAAAAAAAAAAAAAAAAAAAAGAACTTGCTTCTTCTCAGGGGCAGCACTTTGTGCTAGACCATTTCTGATGTTTATTTCTCAGCCTGAGACTTCCTGGGCCAAGTGGGGCAGCAAGGCAGAGGCCAGGCTGTGTGACAGACTTGCAGAAGGGCGCGTGGCCACAGATCAACCTGTGCCTTCTAAGGTAAGGTTTGACCTCTGCCCCTGGAAATAATTACGAAAGCCTTGCGATATCCTGCATGATAAAACTTTCCCTGGGGACTGTGGCTCACACCAGATAGCCTAAGCCATGGGATCGAAATCTTTGGTGAATCTTTAAATTAAAAAAAACCAAACATTTATTACAGTAAAAAATACATTGCCACGAATCTCCCTCAAAATCCTTCCTCTTGCTTTGAGCATACACGCACACACACACACACACACACACACACACACACACGCACACACCCCATGATTCTGGCCACTTTTCTGCAGGAGTTCTGGAGTCCTCTTTCCTCAGTGTCCCTACGAGGTGTGATAAAAAGCACGTCAAGCGGAGCTGCCAAGTACCATCTAACAGGAAAGAGCTTATCAAACCACGATGGTGTCTTCGTCCACCTTATTCACGGGGTTTGGCACCGTGCAACTTCTGGCTTCTCCCCAAAGTCAAGATGACCATGGAAATGTTTTAAAGGCCCTCAGGACACCGAGGCGGCCAGCATAGTGCAACTAAAGACATGCATGAGACAGCACATCCAGAACCGCTTCAGAAAGTGGCGAGAATGGTCGGATAAGGGAAACGAGAGGAGGGTTCTGAGGGGGACTCAAGGCAGTGTCTTGAACTGTAACACATGTTTAAAGATTTAAACATTCACGTTGCACGCTGCTGAGGCGGCTTCAGGAAGGCGGGCCCTGTCTGGGCAACAGTGCCCCCTGCAGTGTGGAGGATGAGCCAGCTGGTTACGGTAACCACCGCTTCCCCAGCTTTCCTGCTGCAGGGTCCCCACCACCCCGCCAGTAAATCATAGGTCCCGCGGACAGGGTCCACTACATCACCCTGCGTCACCCCGTACCTCGTCTCCTGATCCTCTGTGACTGGCCCAGATCTGTGGGAGAGGGAAGGAGGCTCAGTGTTAGTTGCCTGCTTTGGAGGAATTGGACATTTTCCACCTGTTGGCCGAGGCTGCTTTGCTCCGGTCTGGTGCAAAGCAGGCGTCAGTGAGTGTCTGCCGCGTAACAAACAAGCCGGGGGCAGTCAGCTGTGGGGAAGTCAGCCCAGGCCCTCGACTGCCACACAGTGAAAACAGTAAGTTGCTCAGAGCCTGCTGGGCATGGAGAGGCTGAGCCTACACACTGGGGCTTGGACAAAGGTCACCTTCCAGAACTTTCATGTAAGGGCAGAACTTGGTCTCCTGTGTGAGCTGGGTGCTTGGAGGAGAAAGAGGGGGGCAATCTCTCTAGTTGGAGATGATTGTACAATATTATGGATATACCAAATGCCCCCTGAATTGTCCACTTTTATGTATTTTTATTTATGTGTTTAGACAGAGGGTCTCACTACATAGCCCAGGCTGGCCTTGAACTTGCAGTGATCTTCCTGCTTCAGCCTCCTGGGTACTGGGATTACAGGTGTGTGCCACCACGCCTGGCCACCCCATTTATTTTCTGCCCATTAGCCAAGCCCTGTCTTTTCCCCCTTGGGGACACGGCAGCTCCTGGTGGCTGTCACCAGAGTCACCTGCATGCTGACCTGTCTTCCTCCAGCACCGCCTCTGGCTTTTCTTCAGACCTGGGCAGGACGAACTCTGGCTGGGGCCTGGAGCTGTGGACAGACAGAGCCAGGTGACAGGAGGTGGCCTGCTGTCCCAGGCAGGGGGCCTCCGGGCTGCCACTGACCTCTCTGGTCATTTGGCCAGAGGCCTAAGAGTAGGTTGGAGATTTTTATTTATTTATTCATTTTTTGGTAGCACTGGGGAATGGAAGTCAGGGGTGTTCTACCACTGAGCTAAGATCCAGCCCTTTTTATTTTATTTTGGGACAGAGTCTTGCTAAATTTCCCAGGCTGGGCTCAAACTTGCAATCTTCCTGTCTCAGCCTCCCTAGTGCTGGGATTGCAGGTGTGTGCCACCATGCCCTGTGGTCTGAGTTTATTTTTATGAATAAAGTTTTATTGGCACATAGTCATAACCATTCAATTTTGGCTGCATTGGGAAGCCATAATGGACAGCCTTGGGACATCACTGTTCCTTGCTGATTGGAGCCACTGGGGACTTCTGTGTCCCCAGAGGAGCCTGGCTCAGCCCCCTGCCCTGAGTAGCTGTCACAGAGCCCACTCTGCACTGACCTCTCTCTCCTGGCTCTGAGTCTTTCCTCTTCATACCTGAAAGAGAGAAGAAAGCATCAGACTCAGCCCTCCACCTCCTGGGGCAGGCAAACTACCCTGGGACGTCACTTGCTACTGGGAGCAGAGAGCAATGTCTGCTCACACAGCAGCCTGCGCAGCAAGGAGGAAAAGCCGGCCACAGTTGGGCAGCTGCCTGGCCCTGATCTGCTGGGCCTCTTTCCCTGGGCAGGGAAATTCTGGTTTCTTGGCATGGCCCAGCGTCTGTCCATAGATGGTGTGGACAGCTACACAGTCATCTGAATGTCTCTAATGCCACAGAAATGTGTGCTTGGAAATGGCTGAAATGGTCTATCTATCTATCTATCTATCCATCTATTTATCTATATTTTGTACTGGGGATTGAACTTGGATCTTTGCGCTTACAAGGCAGGCGGCAGAATCACTGAGCTAAATCTCCAGCCTGGCCCTATTTGGTTTTTTTGAGGCAGGGTCTAGGCTGGCCTTGAATTCACTGTATACCCAGTCTGGCCTTGAGCTCACAGGTATCTTCCTGCCCCAGCCTCCTGCATTCTGGGATGACAGGTGTGCGCCACCACACCCAGCTCTGAAGTGGTCAATTTTTTGTTCTGTGTATTTTACCAAAGTTAAAAAAAAAAAATGATGCTCAAGAGACTTCTAGGGCAGGAGACAGTGGGGAGGTGTTGAGGACGTCCTGCAGGGTAAGAGAGTGCTGGAGACACTCAGGGTGGATGCCCCCTTGGGGACCTGGGGTGGAGAGTGCACAAATTTAGCTCCCAGAGGGGTGACGCGGTTGGGGGAGGTGTCAGGGTGGGGACCGCCCTGCTACTCACTGGAGGACGCAGTCCGGAATCTGCACATGTTCCATGGGGATGAGCTGCTCCAGCTCTTCCAGGCTGTGCACATACTGGATCTTATTGATGAACTTGACGCTGGTGGGAGGAGAGGTGTGAGGGCAGTCTCTCTGCAGCCACGCTAACACCCAGTTGGTCACACCCCTCAGAGGCCAGCACCTGAGCTCCAGCTGCCCGCCGTGCCCTATTCCAGCTCCAAAACCCTTACAAGAGGGAACATAATCTTTCTTGCTCCATGACAGAGTGACAATCTCGGGTTATTTTTGTTGCTGTTTGTTTTTTTGTGATACTGGAGATGGAATCCCTGGTCCTTCCACTTTGCTAGGCAAACGAACGCTTTACCCCCTGAGCTACACAGTCCTGGCACTTTAAATTTTTTTTTTTTTTATTCTGAGACAATATCTTCCTAAATTGCCCAGGCTGGGTTCCAACCTGAGATTCTCCTGCCTCAGCCTCCTAGAATACTGGGATGCAAACCGTGTCACCCCATGATTAGCACCGGGGCTCTCCTCCACCTGTCTCTCCTCTTTCCATGTCAGCCTGGGCCTTTTCACTAGAATAAACTTTTTCAGTCCCGAGTCACTGAACTTGAGGGTGGCTTTGGGGACCTCAGATCGCACGTGCACTGGGTCGCTTCCCCACAGAGCCCTGGATGTGGACGGGCCCCTCTTGGGGTGATGCCTTCTGGGGACACAGTGGCCCCAGCACAGAGTCTGGCGCTGATGAAACCAGCTCACCTCCTCGCAGCGTGACTGGGTGACACCTTGGAGCCAGGTTTTCTCCTCTGTGAGACTCCTGGGTCGCAGCGTAGACATTAAAAAGGGCCAACATTCAAAAGCTGGGGGCTGTGGTGTGGCCCCGCCATCCCAGCTCCGTGGGAGACTGAGGCAGGAGGAGCAACTGGGCCCAGCCTGGGCTACATGGTGAGACTCTTTCCCCCAAAATACTAGATAGGTGAGAGCCAGTTGGTGTTGTTGTTTCGTTTTTGTTTTTGTTTTTTTTTGTTCCCTTTACTAGGGATTGCACTCAGGGCCTTCGCACTGAACTACAACCCCAAGACACTTTTTTATTTTGAGACAGGATCTCACTAAGTTGCTCGGGCTAGGCTCAGGCTTACAGTCCTCCTGCCTCGGCTTCCAGGGGTGCTGGGATGACGGTATACACACCTGGGATCGTACTCAGGTCCTTGTGCTTACAAGGCAGGCAGCGGAAGCACTGAGCTAAATCCCTGGCCCGGACATCGCATTTTGACTGGAACCCAGGCCCCTGGGTTCAGACATACAATTCACTGTGGGGCCTTTATGTCAGCCCTAAAGAAGACTTGCACTTTTGGAGCATTTTGGATTTCCTGATGGGACACATACACCTGGGATCGTACTCAGGTCCTTGTGCTTACAAGGCAGGCAGCGGAAGCACTGAGCTAAATCCCTGGCCCGGACATCGCATTTTGACTGGAACCCAGGCCCCTGGGTTCAGACATACAATTCACTGTGGGGCCTTTATGTCAGCCCTAAAGAAGACTTGCACTTTTGGAGCATTTTGGATTTCCTGATGGGACACATTCGACATACATGTAAGACTTAAGACAGTTCGGGGCAGTAGTACCTCTGTGTGCCAGAGAAGCTGCCAGTGCATCAAAACACACCCAGGTCCACAACAAAGCCCCGAGAGACCAGCTCAGGCCCGGCTCCTCGGCTCACCTGATGAAGGGGCGGGAGATGGCCAGCACGGTCCGGATGAACCACGATGGGTGAACAATGATCAGGGACTTCAGATTCTTCCGCAGTCTGTATGGGGACATAAAGAGAGCAGGATGTCCTTCTGTGGCAGGTTTTGGGGAGACAGAGCCTAGGAAGGGCCAGGAGCGGGGATGGAGGGCCACACATTACTGTTTGTCGCTGGCACCTGCATCCTGCTGAACTCCAGCCCCAGTCCTTTAAGACTTTTAACAAATTCTTGCTAAGTTGCTGAGTTTCCCAGGCTGGGCTCAAACGCGATTCTCCTGCCTCAGCCTCTCACAGTGGGCTCCAGGTGGTGGTCCCTGCTCTAAGAGTTGTGAATCCCACAGGAGTGCAGACACAGTCCTTGTGTCCCTAAGAGCCCATGGTGTGTGGGTGGGGGACCCCTGCCGTGCAGAGCAAGCAGACCAGTGGGCAGGGTTTAAGCAGCTGAGACCATACGGCCACCATCTAGTGCTGGAAAACGGTCCAAAATGGTCTGAGAGCCTCTCCGCTGACCTGAGTGCACAGATGTGCTGGCTGGTCCAATTTAAAAATCATTCTGAGGCTACTGGCCAAGACATGGACACAGCTCAGTGTCCACAGTGGGATCCATCTACACGTTGGAATATTACCCAGGCAGGAAAAGGAGGGAAATCCTGACACTTGCCACAGCATGAACAGGCCTTGAGGTCGTGCCGCTCAGGGAACTGAGCCAGACGCAGGAGGACACACACCACCGGGTCCCACTCCCAGGAGACCCCAGTATCGTTAGACCCACAGGCAGGAAGGAGGACGGTGGTGCCAGGCTGGAGAGGGGACAGGAGTCAGCCTTTCCTGGGGTCAGAGCTCAGCTTGGGAAGATGGAAAGTCCTGGAGGCAGCTCAGTGAACGTACTTAATGTCTGACCTGTGCACTTACAGCCTTTGAGCTCACCTGGGAATGGGGAAACTCCAGAAGTAATAAGTTGAGTTAGAGTGACATCATATTAAGGAAGAATGGGCCCTTAATCCATTGTGACAGGGGCCCTTATAAAAGGGGACATTTGAACATAGGCAGACGGGGGAACATTGTGCGGCAACAGAGGCAGAGACCCGGATGCCAGTTCGACAAGTTGAGGACACAAAGGATTACAGACACCCCCAGACTCCGGGGACAGGATGGATTCTCCCTGGCATGCTCAGAAGGAGCCACTCGAGAGGCTGAGGCAGGAGGATCACCATGAGTTTAAGGCCAGGCTGGGCTACATAGTGAGATCCTCCCAAAAAACACAAACCAAACCAAAAACACCAGGATCTGGTCAGGCCCACACATTGACCTCGGACTTCTGGAAATGCAGGGATAAATATGGGTCCTTTAAACCACCTGGTCAGTGTGGCTTTGCCATGGCAACCCCAGAAAACTACAGCACCACTTTCAAGCTCAAGATCACTTGCTTTGTGTGAATTTTCTTTCTTTTTCTTTTTTCCTTTTTTTCTTTCAGACAGGGTCTTGCTATGTAGTCCAGGCTGGCCGTCGGACTCACGGCGATCCTCCTGCCTCAGCCTCCCGGATGTTGGGATGACAGGTGTGCACCACCCCGCTTGGCACTCTGTGTGTGACTCTTTATTTCTCCCCTTCCTACCCCCGCCTGCACAGCTGGTCTCCAATCTGCCGCTCACCTCCTGTCAATCATCTGGTAACACTTCTTCAACCACCCGATGCCCGGCATCCTCCGCCGGGGGGTGGCGCCATTCAGATACACGATCATGTAGTCCTCGGCCACCAGCAGCTCCAGGCTGCTGATCACATACCTGGTTGGGAGAAGGTAAAGGTGCAGGGTCAGGATGCAGCCGCCGTTTTACTGAGCACGCACTAGGTGCCAAGCATTTCATATGATTTCATCGACTGTTTCCCAAGACCAAACTCAAGAGTGCGCTGTTTGCCCTGGCTCCGGGCGGGAACAGGTGTCCACAGAGAGGCAAGCTGTGGGGACGGTCGTGGCGGAGGTGGTGGGATGGTGACGGCGGGGTCGGCACTTACAGGAAGAGGTTCTCCATGATGTAATGGTAGTCTGGGGCGCTGCTGTCCGGGAGGAAGCAGGCAGCAAACACGATGATGGCGTTGAGGCCTTCCCCGTAGTACCCTGTGGAAGCCGGTGCATGAGAGTCCCCGGGCGTATGGAGACAGGACCCTCTGAGCTCTGCGTCGCCCCTGGCTCCTGACTACTGCTGCCTGTCCTCCTGCGGCCCGCCCACTCCCCCCAGCAGGCTGAAGCTCGGCCGAGGAGACCGCAGTCCCGAGAGGAGCTCGGCCGAGGTCTCACCTCCGTGCGTGACCACCTTCATGTACGGCCGGATCATGTGCAGGTCGATGCGGTGTTCCTGCTCCCCGATGATCACTGTCCGCCACAGCCGCCCATTGGCCGTCCCGCCGTCCTCTGCCGTGCCGTCCCCAAACAGATCCGCACTGTCCCCGGGCATGTTCTTGGCGGTGGCCACAGGGGTGTCATCTGGAAGCCAGTGGGGGACAAGCAGAAGGGACCGCGGGAGTCTGGAGTCATCCTAACCTCCCCCCCAGCCTTTCTCCAGAGCCGTCCATCGCTGCCACCTGGTGGCTCTGCTTGGCCACTGTCCTCTCCTACTCCCCATTCAAGGCTTGGCTCCGGAAGTCCCCAGGATTGCAGCCCCAGGCAGCAGCTGGTCCTGAGCCTCCTGTGCCTCTCATCCTCCCTGTCCTGGCCATTTTCCTCTCGATGGTCACTTTCTGTGTCCACCTTTTCCAACAGACGGGAGCAGCTCCTGATGAGCAGCCTGCGCGCACTTGTCTCCCAGAACCCCCTGCTCTCCCCCCTGGGCCACCAACAAAAACTCTTTTCCTGTATTTTGCTAACTGACCATGTTAGCATGGGTTGTTGGGAGAAACAGGGAGACTGGGAGTTAGAAAACACACCAAGCTGGTGCAGTAACGCACGCCTGGAGACTGAAGCAGGAGGGCTGCAAATTTGAGGCCAGCCTGGTCAACTTAGCCAGTCTCTGTCTCAAACTAAAAAATAAAAAGGGCCAGGGGTGCATCATTCACACACACACACGCACGCAGGCACGCACACACTCAAATACTGATTTAAAAAAAAAAAAAAAACCGAAAAAACTGTGGGGCCAGGGATTTAGCTCAGTGGTTCCACCTCCTGCCTCGCAAGTGCAAGGACCTGAAGTCAATCCTTGGCACAAACACACAAACAAACTGGGGACCACGAGAAAATGTTCAAGGACAGCAGTCAGGTGGCTTGGATAGAGCACAGTTGTCCAAATGACTTGCTGTGAGATCTTGCACGCTGCACCTCCCTCTCTGGGATTCTCAATCTTTTTTTTTTTTTTTTTTTTTTTTTGGTACCGGGGGTTGAACTCTGGTCATTGCACTTGTGAGGCAGGTGGCGGACCACTGAGCTAAATCCCCGGCCCTTCTTACGCTTCCTAATTGCTCTAAAAATGGGCCCCCGTGTCCTCCTGTTTTTCCTGCCTCGAGACAACCGCAAGCTCAAAGCTCAGGCCAAGAACTCAGGGCTCAGGACCTGGCCTCTGCTGTCCCATCCACACACACTGACCGCAGCTGGTGGACTCTGCCGCGGATGACTCCGATCATCGGGGGACTAAAGCCCAACTCCTCTTAGGGACCCCTGAGTCCCACGAGGTCTATTGTCACCACCCTGTCCCCTCTTGGGCTCTGCCTGCCTCCCCGCCTCAGGCAGATCACAGGGGGTCTCAGCTCAAATGACACCACTCAGCTGTGGCTGCCTGGAGAAGGGACCTCACTCTGCGACCCTCACTCTGGGCCTCGGGGAAACTGAGGCCAGGTTCTCTGAGGGGCTTCCTGGACTCCACTCAGTGCTCCAGGCCGGGAGCCCTCCTAGTGGTGACAGCCGCATGTGTCCCCAGGTGTGGCCCAGCATCCTGGGGCGGGGTGAGCCCCCGTCTCTCCCATTGCTTCCTCCTTTTTCTTTTGGTGGGGGACCTTGTGCCTGCTTCTCCCGTTGCTCCTTAGTCTCCTATGACCCCAGGACCGACGCCCTTTGTGTGCATATTTTGCCGGTCTTTCTGGCTGTCTCAGTGCTCACAAGCGTACGAGAAAAAAGTGCATCCAGCGTGGGGGCGCACGCCTGTCATCCCAGCACTGGGGAGGCTGAGGCGGGAGGATCGCTGTGAATTCCAGGCCAGCCTGGGCTACACAGTGAGACCCTGTCTTGAAACCCCCTCCACACACAACAAAGAAGAAACCAGAAGAACGTGCATGCCATGGCAGGGCGACCGCAAGGAGCTCTGTCACCCACGGGAGTGCAGAGAAGGCCCCAGCGGTGGGCGGGGAAGAACCTGGGGTCTTCACCTTCCCACTCCAGGTCGGTCCCGTTTCCCAGGAGCTCCAGCGAGTCGGTCTCATCCGGGGTCTCGATGTCATCCACGTTGACGTCCAGGTCGTCAGGGGTGTCCAGGAAGTCGTCAGACAGCAGGGAGCCTTCGCTCTGGTCCAGGGAGATGTTGATCTCCGGGGCCGCCAGCGTCTTCCTCTTCCGATGAGCTCCTCCTCCGAAGTTCAGCGAGCTGGGCGGGGCTGCGGGACAGGAACAGCACAGCAGCCCTTGTCGCCTCCCCTACCTCGGTAACTGGGTAGAACCCCCAGCCCCTTTAAAATTTTGTTTTATTTTGTTTTGTACCGGGGATCGAACTCAGGACCTTGTGCTTGCCAGGCAGACGCGGCAGCACTGAGCTAAATCCCTGTTTGCCCTTTTTAAATTTTGAGACAGGGCCTTGCGAAGTTGCCCGGGCTGGCTCTGAACTTGCAATCCTCCTGCCTCAGCCTCCCAAATGCTGGGAGGAGAGGCACCCACCACCACACCTACCTTGTCCCCTTTTAAGGTGGTTTCTGACCCCTGGGGTTAAAGCCAGTCTGAGAACAAGCTGAGCAGAGCTAGTCCCTCAAAATGAGCCGGGGAGAGAAGCCACCTCTGTCCCCAAAGTCTAAAACAGAGGTGGAGTTTTCGGGGGAACCTAGGCCTCACTCTCAGCTTCATTAAGTGGCCACTGAGGGTGCAGTGAGCAGCTGTGGTGTTTGAGGCCAAAATCATTTATCAGGAACTAAACACCTTGGCTCCTGTTTTTTCCCTGTGAATTTCTTGGTCCCTACACAGGGGTCAGAGCTGAGCTTTAGGAGGAATCAACTGCTCCTTGGCAGAAACTGCTACGAACAGAGCAGCCACCTTTTGCCCAGAGCCTGTGATCTGGGTATGGTGATGCATGTCTGTAATCCCAGCTACTTGGGAGGCTGAGGCAAGAGGATTTCCAGTTTGTGTCTCTGGGTTCCCCCATCTTCCTCATGGGAAGTGGGTCTAGGGGGTGAATTTAGTGAGTTTGGTTAAAAACTTTGCTCTGTCTTTCCAAAGGGGTAAAACTAAAAGCCATAGTTCAGTGATGGTTAAGCTCTGGGTATATAGACGTGACATTAGTCACTACCAGGGAGAGAGAGAATCCTGTGACAGCACCACGTGGGCCCCAGAACATAAATCTGAGCCAAAGAGGATTATTCTCAAGCCTTGAAAGCAAATGAAATTTGTCCTTAATTTAAAAAAAAAAAGAAAAGAAAGCAGGGCTGGGGATTTTGCTCAGTGGTTCCGCTGCCTGCCTCACACAGGCAAGGGCCTGAGTTCAATCTCTAGTACAAAAAAAAAAAGAAAGAAAGAAAAGAAAAGAGAAAAATAAAAACATCAAAGTAATTTTCCCTCAATCAAAAGATACAGGGTGCAAGGGGCTGAGAGTGCTGCACACCTGTCATCCCAGCACTTGGGAGGCTGAGACAGGAGGATTGCCGTGAGTTCGAAGTCAGCCTGGACTGCACAGTGAGATCCTGTCTCAAAAAAACAAGCAAACCAATCAGTCAATCGGGTTTGCTGCAGGGGAATTAGGATGGGTCCTGGGACATCCATTGTGACGCTGTCCTCATTAAAGGGGACCATTGGGATGCAGACAAACACGTGGAGAGAAAGGGCTGAGCCTACTGAGGCGGAGATCGGGGAGGCCTCACCACAGCCCACCTTCCAGGATCACCAGCCACCTCCAGAGGCAGGGGACAGGCGGGGTCACGTTCTCCGAACAGCCTGAGGAAGCCAGCCCTGTCCACACCCTGGCCTGCTGGAGGCAGCGCGGATCAGTGTCTAGTTTTGAGGCTGCCTTGTCCGTGGCATCTGTGGTGGCCTAGAAAAGCCACACAGACTTAGGTGCCAGTGCAATCACTTGTTTGGTTGGTTCTTGGTTTTGTTTTTGCTGTACTGGGATTGAATCCAGAGCCTTCACACTGAACTACATCCCCAGTCCCTTTTATGCTATTTTATTTTTTCACATTTTGAGATAGGGTCTTGCTAAGTCACAAAGTTGCCCAGGCTGGGCTCAAACTTGTGATCCTCCTGCCTCAGCCTCCCAGAATACCAGGATGACAGGTGTGCGCCACCATGCCCAGCTAGAACACTCGGTTTGAGGGGCAGGAGCTGGTCCTCTGGCCCATGTTGGCTTTGCCCCGTCCTGCCCGCCTCCCCTTCCCTCACCAACTGTCTGAGGTCGGCCGTTCTCGGGGATGGAAGCCAACGGTGATTCTACGTCAGGGCTCTGGATTGCAAGTGGATGTTTCCTCCAGTCCCCAGGCCCTGAGATTCCCAGATTTGGACAGGAGCTGGGGGCCTGGTCCAAGCTGTTTGACAGAAGGGCCAGGCGGGCACGCTTAGCCCTTGAAGTCTGCTCTGCCAAGCGTGAAGCCCTCAGCCTGCGGCCCTGCCCTTCATCTGCAGAGCCGGCAGCACGGTGCCTTCGACCTCTCTCAGATCTAACCTGTCGTGCCTGCTCAGGGGGGCCTGGGGGACTCTGGGCCCCGAATGAGCCAGGATCCAGGATAATCTCCTCCTGTGTTACTTAGATTATAGTCCTCTGGAGAAGTAGGCCTAACAGTATGTGTATGTGGGGAGGGAGATTTTAAAGAATGGTTTCCTGTGGTTATAGGGGGCTGGCAACTCCCGACCCCTCAGGGCAGCTGGGGGAGGACACCAGGCAGCACTGGGCGCTGCAAGCTCAACGAAAACCTTGCGCTGGCAGATCTCAGTCTTTTTCTGTTTAAACCTTCAACTAATTAGGTGAGCCCCACCCTCCTAAAGGAGGCCGTAGGCTTCACTAAAAGTCCACTAATTTAAATCCCTTTGGCGGGGGTACCGGAATTCAAACTCAGGACCTTGCATTTTCCAGGCCAGGCAAACTCTCACCGCTGGCCCCAGCCCTGTCAGGTAACCTGAAGATGGAGCTGGGAACAATGGTGCTCACTTGTCATCGCAGCCACCTGCGAGTTCAAGTGATTTAGTGAAATCCTGTCCCAAAATAAAATAAAAAGGCTGAGGGGTGGCTCAGTGAAACGTGCTGCCCAGCTTGCACAAGGGCCTGGATTCTGTGCCCTGCACAGGGACAGAGAGAGAGAGAGAGAGAGAGAGAGAGCGCTAGACATGGGAGGAAAGGCTGATGGTTAATTGTACGTGTCCACTTGGCTAGACCTTGGCATCTGGATGTTAGGTCAAACATTATTCCAGATGTTTCTAAGAAGGAATTTTTAGGTGAGATTCAGATTTAAATTAGTGGGGCCAGGGACTGCACCCGCCTGTGCCGGACCACAAGGGGGCGGTGAGGAGACCCGTGTGAGTGTGGGCGGCTCCCCTGGCCCCCCAGTTCCATTCCCAGCCGGGTCGGGGGCGAACTTACAGCACGCGTCTTCCCCGGGGCTGCCCAGCAGGTCCATCCCTGTCTCCGGGAGCGGCCTGGCACCCCGACGGGCAGACACAGGAATCCAGACGGAGCACCCCACACGGCCAGCACAGCAGACAAGACAAGAAAAGCGACAAAACTGATTCAGATCCGGGGACTCCCTGGGCTCCGCCTGGCGGGCAAATTCACAATCCATCGGCGCCAGAGGACTCCTTTCTAATTATCAAATTAACATGACGTTTTTCAAGATTTTTTTACATTTATCTATTTATGTATTTATTTTTCCTTTCTGGGGGTGGAACCCAGTCTTTGCACTGAGCTACCTCTCCAGCCCCAGCCCTTCTTATTTGTATTTTCAGACAGGGTGCCCCTAAGTTGCCCAGGCTAGGCTTGGACTTGAGATTCTTCTGCCTCAGCCTTCCAAAGTGCGGAGATCACAGACCTACACCACTATGCCTGGTCTTGAAGGATTCTCAGACTAAGCAAATTTTGACCCTGAGAGAAAAAGATCTTCGTCTTCCACTGGCTCGCAGTTTTGTCCCCCTCAGAATAGAAATCAAATTACCCACAGGGCGACTGGAGCAGATGTGGTCATTGATGACCCGCTGACCATCAGCACAGCGGACACTAAGTCAGAAGGAAACAGGAAGCCCGGGGTGATGGCCACGCCTGTCATCCACACGCTGGGAGGCTGAGGCAAGAGGGTCACCACTTCCATCCCTGGACAATTTAGTGAGACCCTATCTCCAAATAAAATAAAAAGGGCTGAACAGCTGGGGATTTAGCTCAGTAGTGCTGCCGCCTGCCTCACAAGCACAAGGCCCTGAGTTCATTCCTTGGTACAAGAAAAAGAAAAGAAAAGAGCAAAACCAATCTAACCCAAGAGCATGTGAATAAACCACAGACTTCAGTTACTCATAATATGTCAGTGTTCATTCCTCAACTGGAACAGTGGACCCACTGCTAATTTAAAATGTTAAAGGCAAACATAAATAAATACATACAATGTTAAAGGCAGAGGAAACTGATTGCTGACTATAGGAGCTCTTCCCATTATCTTGTAACTTTTCTGTAAATCTGAGACTATTCTAACCAATAAAAGTCATCTTAAGGTATGTGGCAGACAATGTATTTACATCCCTTTAAAGCAGCCCTGGCCAGGCACAGTGGTGCACTCCTGCAATCCCAGCAGCACTCAGGAGGCTGAGGCAGGAGGATCGCTGTAGGTTCAAGGCCAGCCTGGGGTACATAGTGAGACCCTATCTCCAAAAATAAAATAAAATAAAAGCTATGATTGATGCCATCCAACTGTCACCTCAATGATTTGCAGGTTCAGGGAGGAGGATCTCAAATTCAAGCCCAGGCTGGGTAACTTAGTAAGACCTTCTCTCAAAAATTAAAAAAAAAACACAAAGGGTCGGGGATTAGCTCAATGCAAAACCCCTGGGTTTAATTCCCACTGCTATTTTTCTTTTTTAAATTGCAGACTTACACTGACGTACCCAAACTAGTTTTGTCTCACCCACACAGCATTTCAAAGAAAACACTTCAAAATCTGCTGTCAAATCACAGCCGTGACACACAAAGTCTAGATTTCCATATCATTACAAATCAGGACACTTTTCCCTCCAAACTGGCCTCTATCGGCCGATACAAGTCTGCCACGCTAACTGGGCCTGTGAATTTCCTACCGACTCCTGCTCATTTACCCTGCTTGCCTGGCCAGTACTCACCATCACCTAAGTCCGCTCGGCCTTTGCTCTGGAATCTTCTAGAATCCTACACCACCAGCCTGCTGGCCAACCCGTGCCAGGACCCACCCTAGGGTGTTTACAGCTTAATCTTTTTGTTTGTTTTCTTGAGACAGGGTCTCGCTATGTAATTCAGGCTGGCCTCAAACTCTGTGCAGCCCACGCTGGTCTCAAACACGCCAGGGTCCTCCTGCCTCCGCCTTCCCAGTGCTGGGATGACAGGCACGCCTGGCTTTGTATTTTTATGTAGCGCGTTGGCTAAAACATAGTCCCCAGTTATTCGTTCAAGCCCTAGACTAGGTGTTTCTTTGAAGGAATTTTGTGAATGAGGTCAACATCTACAACCCACTGCCTTTAAGTGAAGGAGGTTTTTGCTGAGGATGTGGGGGTCCCAACCTTCATGAACTCCTCCGCTGAAAGCCTAAAGGGCAAACATCTGACCACCCACGGAGTCTGGGTGTGGCTGGTCCCACGGCTGTGCACACCCAAATGAATGGATGAAGCAGACGGTGGTGCACACCTGTCATCCCAGGGCTCTGGGAGGCTGAGTCAGGAGGATTGCGAGCTTGAGCCCAACCTGGGCAACTGAGTGACTTAGCAAGACCCCATCTCAAATTTAAACATGTAAAGGGCCAGGGTTGTAGCTGGGCTGGGAGAATAGACTGGCGTTGTCTAGAACCCACAGAGGGGCCCTGTGTGGCCACAGCTGGGCCCCGCCTCAAGAAGCCGTGCTCATTTCTTCCCGAGATGGGAAGACAAGAGGCCTCTCAGGCACAGTGCCAGCTGGCAGTGGCACAGGGCACAGCCTGCACAGGAGCCCACTGTCCTGCCAGGGGACACTGCAGCTGGGGACTCATTGGAGAGTCACCATGGGCTCCTGCTCAGCTGGTCTTGTCCCTCTCAGAACTGGCCTTGTCCCCATTTGCAGCTGTGTTCAGCCCCTGTTCTGTCCCCAGAAGGCTTGAGAAAGGAGGTAGCTTTTTTTTTAGTCCTTTCAACTTTTTATTATTTTTTAAGTTATTGGGGTTGAACCCAGGGCCTTTGCATTGAGCTTCGGTGGCAGGGGGTCTGTTTGGTGGGGAGAGAGGCTTAGACAAAATAACCATGCAAAGCATTCAGCCTAGGTTATGGTCGAGTTTGTCCCGCAAACATGCAGGTGTTGGAAGCTTGGTCCTTGGTGTGGCGATAGAGAGGTGCTGGGATCTTTAAGAGGCGGGGCCTAGGGGGAGAGCTTTAGGTCATTGTGGGCGGAGAGGAGTCTGCAGGGACTCTGATTGGCTCCCCAGGGGTGGCTGCTACAAATTTGTTTTTTTGTTTGTTTGTTTGTTTGTTTTTGGTACCAGGGATTGAACTCGGGTTCTTGTGCTTGCAAGGCAGGCCACTGAACCGAACCGCTGAGCTAAATCCCCAGCCCTAGAAATTTGTTAAAGAGCTCAGCCCACCCAGCCTCTGTGGCTTCCTGTTTGCGAGGTGATTTCCTACTTCTCACATTGGTCTCTGCCCTAACCCTCTGCGTGAGGTGGCCCAGTCCGTGGGGCCCTCAGCACAGTCTCCTCTTCCTCTTTCCACCTCCCACTTGCATAAACACTGTTCTTTATCAAGGGAGCTGCCTCTGACAAGACACAGAATGGACTCCCGCAGCGCAGCCTCTGTGTCAAATCGCCAGGGGCCTGGGGCCTCAGAACCTCCCATATTTCACCTTCACAATTCCGGAGGCTGGAAGCAAGTCCAAAGTCAGCTTCCCCGGGCTGCAGTCCAGATGTGGGTGTAGCTGGTCCCTTCCAGAGCCTGGGGAGAATTTGGGACCCACCTGTCCCAGCTCCCAGAGGCACCGATAGCCCTCAACTCACAGCTCCTTGCTCTCCTCTCTCCAATCTGTTTTAGTTTTATTTTTAATTTTTATTTTGGTAATACTAGGATCCAAGCCCAGGGCCTCCACACTCAGCAACAACCCCCAGCCCTTCTGTACATTTTTATTTTGAATCAAGTGCTCACTAAGTTGCCCAGGCTAAACTAGAACTTGTGATCCTCCTGCCTCAGCCTCCCAAGAAGCTGTAGTGACAGGCATGCACCACCGCCCCTGGCACTCCAGGAGGCTCTAGATGGCATTGGCAGCACCTGCTGAATGCCACCCCCAGACGCTCTGGGCGCTGTGTGGCTCGGGACCCCATAGGTCCTACCTGGGAAGATCCTCGTCCTGCCATTCCTCCTGCACATCCACGTTTTCCATTCGGAGTGTGGCCTCGGTGGTTCCCATGGGAGCCGGAAAGCTAATGCAGGAAGAGCCCTGAAGGACAGTGGAAGACAGAGGAGCAGGTTTCACTGGACAGGAATTGCAAAAACCACCCCGTCCTCCACCTGCAGCACTTGGGAGGTAGATCTGCAGAGAGTTCATGTGCCCATCGTCTTATTGAATCGGTGCCAGGTCTTGTGAGGTGTCCTCATTCCATAGATGAGGAAACAGAGGCAGAGAGAGCTGAGGACTTCCAGGTGTGTATGGAGTTTGAACCCAGGTTAAGAGCTGAGCCTTCTGCTACAATCTCCTGTTCCTTGGGACCTCTGAAATCCACCCTCCCCAGAACAAGCGATGATCAGAACAGACTCTCTATCCCTTACATGGGACCTCAACCAAGTAACAATGAATTCAACAACAATGACAATGACAGTAATTCACACTAAAGTGTGAATGACTGGTATGTTTCATTTTCCCTACTGGGACCAACACTTTCAAGAGGACCTGGCCCACTCCAACCCCCCTCTGCCTACCCCAGGCCAGGCCATCGGCCCTGCCCCTCTGTCCTCTCACAAGTCCTGATAATGGTGGACCCCAGGGCTAAAAAGACAGTATGGAAAGAGCCTGGGGTTGCTAATCAGATCAAAATCATTACCAATCACAAAGAGGCAGGCAGGTGTGGTTTTTATTGCTCTGAGCCTCTGACTAGGGCGGGCTCCAGGTACAGGCTTCAGCAGTTGACTGTCTGATAACAGAATCTGAGCTGCTGAGGGAGACTGAATTTATGTCTACCTTGAAGCATGACAGACTCCCAAAGCCTTCACCTTCCTGTGCCTCAGTTTCCCTGTCTGTAGATGAAAGAGTTGAATGGGAGATGACCTCTCTGATACCTTCCAGGCATCGTATTCCAGATTCTTGGGCCTCAGCCAGCACCTATGTGGAATTTCATGCTCCTAAACCAGCAGTTCACAACTGGGGACTATTTCCCACCCCCCTGAATCATCTTCAGAGACACTCATTAGCATCTGCCAGTATTGGGGGATTGTGTTCCAGGGCAAAGGTCAGGGATGCCGCTCTACTTCCTGCAGTGCCCAGGATGTACCACACAACTAGGAATGACCTGGCCCTAAGCCCACAGAAAACTGCTAGGAAAGGAAATAGAGCCAGGCTAGTGGTGCGCGTCTGTCATTCTAGCATGGGGGAGGCTGAGGCAGGAAGGCTGAGGGTTCAAGGCTAGCCTGGGCCACAGAACCAGACCCTGTCTCCTAAAACACAAACAAAGGAAATGGCCCCTTCTGCATTTGCCCGTCACTTTGCAACAAACTCCTCCCATCCCCAGCAGCTAATGGGTGACCCCCCCCCCACAGCACCGCAGACCACCTGGAAGCCCCTGCTTCCCTGCCTGCCGCTCTGAAAGCTGCCCGGCTGGGTGTGTCCCTCCGAGCCCCCAGAGACATAGGTCCTGCCTCTGGGATGGTGGCTCGGTGCGGGGGGACCCAAAGGGAACCTGCACCCTGACAGTGCCCACAGAAAGCCGAGGACCAGGGAACAGCAGAAACCAGACTGTCCTGTTTCCCTCCGGATCGCTCTCTCTCCTCTGCCTTCAATGCCGTTGTTCATTCATGGAGGACAGTGAGACGCAGTGTGGAAAAAAAAAATCCCTTCCGGATGCTCCAGGCGACAGCAGTTGCCCAGCCCTCTTGGGCAGAGGAAGTTCTTACAGTGGGAGCCCCATTTCCCAGCTGGAGCAGAGGACCTGTGTCTGCTTTCCTGACCCTCAGTTGGGCGTGACCTGAGCTCTCTGGGGGCGGGGGACCCACTGAGGAGAAGCTGGTGCCACACGCTCTAACCTTGGGGTGTGGTGGGTCCCCGGCAAGGCCCGCACACTCCTGCATTCTGATCCCAGCTTCCTATTAGGCGACAGCCAAGACCACGACACCAAGGGACAGCCAAGCAGTGCTCATTACAGCCACGGTGCTGGATTAATAGCGCATCACACAGAAATCCAGAAAAATAAACCGGGTGTGGTGGCGCATGCCTGTTATCCCAGCACTAGGGAGGCCGAGGCAGGAGGGTTGCAGAAGAAGAGGAATCTGTTCATTAATGGGCTCCCTTCCTCCCTGCTCCAACGAAGCAAGTCTTCCTCGACACATTTATAATTTTTTTGTCCAAACCTGCAGCCAGCAGAGTCCCTCTGGTGTTATAAATAAAGGAATGAGTAGGCTTTCATCGCCAGATCTCTGAGCGCTCCTGCACCGGTGCAAAGCGCAGCCTCTAGCCAGCATCCTTGGTCACAAGACCCTGGTCCCCTGCTCCCAGGCAGCCCACGCCTGTCCTCTGCCATGCTCCCCGCAAACGCCCCTTGCCCGGGCCAGGGACGCGGAGCAGCCCTCACCTTCGCGTCACTGGGAGACAAAGGCGCGCATCGCTCGCGGTCCCCGGGCCACAGCCGCGCAGGATGCTCG